TCAAATGAAAATATTTAAGACATGGATATAGACTCGTGACGTCTAGAAAAAAAGGATATATATGTATGACTATGATTGTGTCGCCATTTTTCCGGAAATTGCCGATTGTACAATAAATTTTGTATACGTTAAGGGAATATGTCCTAATAATAAAGTTATACGTCACGGAATATGTGAAGTAATTGTATGTCTGTTATTCTAATGTTGACGGTAAAGGCAAAATTTAAATGACGTGCGTTCTGACGAGACGCCACTTGTTTCTGTTTTATGCATCAACGTGTCTCCCCCTCCATCTATATTTGAACAAAAAAGTACGAGATTGGCAGTTCACCCCGCGTTCTTACTGGCTGCCCGCAACGACTAATATGCCCTTATAGCAGACTGCGAAGTTAAAATGATTTATCTACGTATTACTTGATAAAATTAAAATCACAAAAAATGTATGTTTCGAAAACTAAACAATGTATACCAGTAATTTACTATACGATATTTCGCTTTATTACATAGAATATTATATTTTAATGATAGATTATTTCAATGATATAGTTTTACTTCAGTACATGTAATGCATTAGAGAATCAGAGTTTAATGAAATTCACAATATCACCTATTTCACTGTCATTAGCGATTGCTTATTGCAAACAGTATTGCTTAGAAATGAGTGCATTATCTGATTAAGAAGAAACATGAAGAAAAATTAAGACTTTATTACGAAAATTAGTAGGCCAAACATATATGTAAATAGACAATAACAGCAAATAATTAATAACATTTTAAGAATGGATTTAGATTATATTAGATTAGCGGGCGTCCGTGGCCGAGTGGTTAAGGTCGTTGTCTTCAAACCACTTGCCCCTCGTCAAAATGGTACTTTTTTGCCTTCCTATTGTATACAATATCACTGATATCATTTTAGGGGCATAAGGGATATTCAGTGGATATAGAAGATAATACAGAGATATTCTTAATTCGTCTCTATTGTCTTTTCTACAGTTTGTGTCATACATATCACATACAATGTTCGTGCCTGAAATGCACGGAATGCCACCTGAGGTCTTCCTCCACCAGTAAAATTGGAACTGTAAATTAATGTATGTATCTTATGTCAAAAGTTTAAATTTTATATAGAAAACTATCTTTTTGTTGGCATAATGCATTGCCATTTTGAAAACATGTCATGCGTGTTTTATCTTGTTTAATCCTCCGTGTTTCAGGACGGTATCTGTAGATTTATTGATAGACAATATACAGATAGTGGTCTCATGGACTAGCTTTTTTCATGTGACACTTATTGTTTGTACATATTTCTTACTAGATGTTGTAAATAACCTCTCGCTCAGCTTGGTCTTCCTTCTGAATGTTTTCATGTTAAACATATTCTTTTTGCATGTGAAAATAGTAATTGATATTGAAAATAAACAGATATTTTAGAAAAAGGTCACGGTTTAAAACGAAAGAATTATGTCATTTTGGGAATAATATAACTTTTTTAAAATGCTGAAAAAACAGTCATACTGAATATGTACAGTATATATTTTATTTAGTGATTCAAAATTTTCAGAAGTTGATGCAATTTAGTTTTGCCCAGCTGCTAGCTAGGTTTATTTTTGTTTGTTAATTGGCAAAAAATATGACTATACGTAATTTTGGATTTGGAAGATGATTTTTCTCAAACCCTAGTGAACAGAACAGAACAGATCTCTATGGTACATGACAATGCAACATATAAACAGATATAATATGATAAACAAACTTTCGATAGAACTTTATCAGCTGATGAATAGTGTTTTGATTCAAAATAGCATGATGATTCAGTAACATTTAAAGTGAATAATTGAGATTGTTGTTCTTTTAATTATTTTTGTGTTTTTTTATATGATGTTCGTAATAAAGTTTGTCCTGTAAAGTTCGATATTCCAGTGTATTGGTCATTATTACCTTATAAGTGATATAGTGGACAAATGTCAGCTCCTCGCACTCCTGTTAATTAATAAATACTGGAATGAAATAACTGGTGTCTGTACTAAAGTTTGTTAGTCTGTTTTCCAAGAATATTATAATAATATATCATAAAGGGAAACAAGTTGTGATCGTGGTTTAACTGATAACTCTCATAGTTGTGAAAAGTGTGTATATTTATGTATACTTATAACATATACATTCCTCTATTATACTAGTAAATCAATCTTATAAGCCTAAATATAAGCCACAAAAACGTTTATTCTGATCAGAAGAAGTCCTTGAGCTACTAGTATATTTATACATAATTTTATTAATGAAAAGCGGGTTGGCTAGTTATAGATGTCAGGCTCAAAAAAGACATATGTAGCGTTGATCTTAGTGTTTTAAGCCTTATTTAACTTGATTGTATTCATCCTTCTACGAGCTTACTCCCGTAATGTATTTGTATATAGGGTAGATATGAAAACACTCCTAGAGAACAGCGAATATATAAATAGCAAGTAGAGAGTTAATATCACTTTCTTATTGTATGTCCCTTCTACAGACATTTTCGAACAAAATACTTAAAACCATACTATACTGCCATCGGCCGACTATGAACAAACTTGATAGTCTTTTGTCATCATATGCCCCAACTAAATTTTTGTATTGGGCAAATCATAATTGTTATTTTTCTGTAAAACTACACAAAATGTGTTCTGTTCTATAAAACTATATTATTATAAGTACAGTCTTATTTGTTTTTATATGTTCCTATATTAACTTAAATTCTTCAGAAAACTGTGTATCATTAACTGTTATTGTTCTCATTGTACATGTGTATCATTGTGTTTTGGCTGTAAGCAATGCATTTTGTTTTATGCTTAATACAGTTCGTATTAATAAGAAAATGTTTTCTTTTTTTTTATAAATATAACGTATGCGGCATTTTTTGGTGATGAAGACACTCGTGTTTTTTTTTCTCTCTCCCCCCCCCCCCCTAAAGAACCGGATGGTTTCCGCAGTCAGAAATAACGCTAGTATATAATGAATAAAAAATAAGAATTGAATATATCATATTTTGTTTGTTTGTTTCAGGTATCACATTATTCAATTATTACATTTATAATATTTTCAAATAAAATTTAATTGGTGCAATGGTTTGATGTTTGTTTGTTTGTATATTTCTTATAACAAACATCAAAGGCGGCGAATCTCTTCTCTCGTTATTAGTAATCATATATTTTATTTACTCGAGATCATGTTTGTACAAACCGATTATACATCATTAGTAAATGTGAGAAAATATTTGTTTCAAAGGTGCTAACACTTCTTATCCAATCAAATATCTACGTTTCAACTAAGCCCCGCCTTATTCCGAGATTATCGATTATCTATTGGACACACTACATTTACTCAAATTTATCATTTTAGAAATATTTTGATAAATTATCCGAATTCAACCTATGTTAAATCAAACCATACAGAAGACATAATTCGAAGACATACACCATTTTATGAAATATATAAATCAAAGGGAGATAAGAAGAATATATAGGTAAGTACATTTCATTCTTTGTAACAGATTCATTAGTTACCATTATCTTTCTTTCTTTTTTAAAGGCTCTCATAACAATGTTATAATTAGATAGAAAGTAATTTATTTTACAATTAGAAATTCTAGCATCGCCGTCAGAAAGTTGGAAAAATGTTGTTGTTTTTTATTTTCAATCATAATCTGTAACACAAAAGTAAAAGCATTTTCAGTTTATCAAAAATATCAATTCATGATATTGCACACTTGCCTTAAAGGCACATTATGCTTTAAAAACGAATACATATTTCTTTTATGGAGAAAAGGCAATCATGAATTTAATAATGCCTAAATAATGGTTCCAGAGCATGTCAGATACTAATCAAACGGAATAGGTAGAGATGGAGATGAAATAATTTGTCATATAAGTTGCACAATGTTAACAAAGTAGTATTTTGACTACCATGTAAAAAACTTAAGTACTATAAGTTTACTAATTGACAAAAAAAGCAACAGAAGCAAATGTAAATGACAAATTAGAAATACAGATACTAGTAAAGTAAACTTTTTTGGGCTTTCTTTTTGTTTTGCTTTTTCATTTTGCTGACTTCTGCCGGAACAATAAATGGCTAAATATATTTGTAGTATTTTAATACTATGAGAGGAAATAAAGTTTTCTGTCTATCTATCTGTTAGCTACTTTTTAAAAACTTTGAAAAAAAATGAAAGCATTTCATATGCTTAATTTGGGCCTTTAAAACATTCTCTTCGAAATTAATTCGAAATTAATTTCAAAGCAATTTAATTGTTTTCGTGCAATAGAACAATTATGAAATTTATTTGCATTACTATAAAAGTTTCATATTACATATTTGTCTCAAGAAGTGCGTCATGTATATGATAACATGTCTTAGAGAAATGTTCCATAAATATTTCACATAAGTTAAAATGTAAATGCCTTTAAATGTATAAAGTTTTCTTCTTCTAATGAGACAAACAAAATGTTATCATAGTTAATTAATGTCTGTTGGTAGGAATGAGATATATGAATAGTAATTCAGTCTTTTAAAATCTTGTAGATTGGCAAAAGGCATTCATATTCATATATATTAATTGTGTACTTTAATGAGAATAATAAAGTTATAATATGTTTATTCGTTGAGTGTTTGCATAACCTGCGTCTTTTATCTCTCAGAATGCAAGAGCCGGTAAATTATTTTATCAACTAATAAGTTACTGTTACTTAGGGTGGTACTGTTACTTAGGATGTATATCAAAATATGTACATCAAAAATGGACAATTATATCACACGAATGTTGAAGATAATGGTTGAATACATAATTTTTGCAGTGTTCTCCGGCAAACAATTTTATTTCGACACATATAGTTTCTTGCGGGAAAAAATGTCGATTTGACATGTAAAACAGTAATTCAAAAATCTTCTTTTACGTGTAAGAAAAATAATAATTATGATATTTTATTTCAGATATAGAGATGAACGGACTATTTCTCAATCAAAACATAATGATTCCCGCCATTTTCCACGGTCATCAGTTCCATGCTACAGACAACGCCTGCATGAATCAAGCAAACAACCAATCAAATGTTGAGACACAGAATAATTTTAGACAAGCGATGCAGTTCCATGGGTTCCAACCATTTAACATAACTTTTGCTAACAACAACTTTTATCAACATTCAACAAACCAGCCAGGTTTCCAGTCTACGTCAATGTTTGGGGCGTCCGACAAGGAAATGAAAACTTGCCATATTTCAGGATCATCCAATGAACAACAGTGTGACATAACTTCAGCTGTAGCATCAGCTATACACAGCAGTACAAATGATAACGAAACACATATTGTATCAAATAAAACATTTGACATTTCAGCCTCCTATCCACAAAATGTGCCTGAACAAACACAAATACCTTCGCAACAACAATTGAATCCGTCACCACTCGGTGAACTTCGGTTGCCTACTATTAAAACTTCATCAAATGTTGCAGCTAACGTGATGTCCGAGGAATCCGATTTGGGATACTGTAGCTTTTCGGATATGTCAACATTTCAGGATATTTCGGATGCCATGGTTTATTCAGAAGGCCCAAATGATCAATTTGATGATGTCAAAACTAATTTCTCTGATTTAATTGATGACGTACTAGACAGTATTGACAAGAGGGATCTCATTAAAACAGAATGTGTAACACCAGAAAATTGTGAAAACGTGGATTTTACAGAATCCCAATTGTTTGAAGTACATCAAAATGTGTATGAACAGAAAGCTGTACATCATTCACCTACACCAATGATGAACTATTTTGAGCCATTAAATATTCAGACCACACCCACCTTTCAAGGATTTGTCCCCTGTGTGATAACTTCAAGTGCTTACCCTGTTGTTGACATGAATAGATATAATACGGACTTATATTGCCAAGAATGTGACAAAAGCTTCCAAACAAAGTCAAGTCTACGAGTGCACATGCGCCAACATCGCGGGGAAAGACCCCATCAGTGTCCATACTGCCAGAAATCCTTTGCTCAGAAATCAACACTACGCACGCACGTAAGAACTCATACCGGTGAAAGACCGTACACGTGCAATTTCTGCTCACGTGCATTTGGAGATTACAGCACGTATAGAAAACACGTGCGTGTTCACACAGGAGAAAAGCCGTACACTTGTGACGTATGTAATAAGAGTTTTACACAGTCCGGAAATATGATTCGTCATAAAGAAGTGCATTTGAAGAAATCACAGAAGAAATCACTTGTGAAATGACAATTTGTTAATTCTGTAATAAATTAAAAATAATCCGAAACTAGCAAATAATATGATAGTATTACAACTTGCTTTATTGTTTGCACTTATCTATTATACTGAATATAATGTTGTTACCTTCTGATATGTTTATGTTAATGAAATGTAAATAAAATAATGTATGATAAATTGTTGTTAATCCTTATATAAGAATTGTCGAAACTTGATAAATCAGTGATATATTCTGTAACAATGCACTTATACACTAGACAATTATAACTATATAGTTCGTCTCCGAAGTAATAGAGGGTCTTTGACTTTTGTGTTTCCATACCTCTAGCTAGGCCATGTTCCCTTCACAATGATAAAGATAAGGATCAAGATTTATACATTTTCTCTATTGTCATATTGCAATAGTAAGATATACATTCAATATTTAATGTTACGTTAAAGAATGAGGAGATTTAACGAAAGTTTCGTACCTTACATGATATGCATGTATGAAGTTTATTCCAAGTTATGATCTTGAGTATAGGGCATTTTTACATATCAGTTCAGCCTCATAAGCAATATATACTAAAAAGTCATGATAAGTTGGTCCTGATTTTGTAAACACGTGACCTGGTATAGAGATTGACAATTGATAAGATCCCCGAAAGAAGACCCGTCACAGCAATTTCGGCATACCCCTGTTATTTTGCCGGGTTGCATGGAGCAACGAATCACTACGTACATTAACTGGGGCAAAATATCAAATCTATCCCCGCGTTTCCCCTGCTGCATTTTATCCCGAAAATCGACAACCATCATGAACGTGTTGCATAACTATAGTAATTACATGAATAGGCACATTTCAAATACTGAAGTGTAAGTGATGTACGTAAAATTTAAATCAAAAAGCATTTTTAAAGTGTTTATGTTATATACATTATCAGGGCTTTTCCTTTCTATAGCATGACCGTTTAAAGGGATCTGCCCGTCTGGAAAATTCTTTTAAAATCATAGTTTTAGTAAACATTAAGTTTATTTTCTTCCACTTTTGCATAAATAAAATGTATTTCAACATAAATTTAATAAAGTCTGAAATTTTATGAAAAATATATGGACACTTCAATTTCAAAATGTGTACATAAAATGCACAAGAAGCACCATTTTCATGTAACCTGTAGATTTTATTGTTTTCTGCAACAACACATTTTTTAACAAATAATAATTTTATCTAGTTGTAGTTTACACTATATGTATTGTTATAAATAAATTGTATACATAAAAATCTATGAGGTGGATTAAGGCAATTTTAATCACAATTTTTCACCACTTTCCTTCATGTCAAGTCAAATATATTTTTGACAATTCATTGCAAAGTATATTTTTGACTATTCATTGCAAAGTAACATATCCTAATATAATTAGTATAAGAGCCATGTTATCATGGCCATCCCCCGCCGAATGTGTTTGCTCATTGGAAGAATATATATGTAGTAGAGCAGAATAATTCAATTTTAAGAGGTCTTTTGGTAATGAAAACTGATGGCTTAAGTGATAAAAGCTATTGAAACCTATCTGAATACTGATGGCTGAAAATAACAAAGGGCAATAACTGAAAAATACTGCAGGGTAGGCTATCATTCTTGTGTGCTGCACTCCTCCTTAATGAGATCTATCCACCTATGAAGTTTCAAGTTGATACCTCTAACACTTTTGAGATAAGATCCGGACAAAAATTATGAAAAATAACAAAGGGCAATAACTCAAAAATTATAAAGGGAATAGGTATCATTCTTGCACACAGCATTCCTCCTCAATAAGATCTATCCACCTATGAAGTTTCATGTTGACATCTCAAAGGCTTTTGAGTTATGCTCCACTCAGGTGAAAAATAATCAAAAATGAAAAATAACAAAGGGCAATAACTAAATAATTATGAAAGTTGAGTTATCATTCTTGTGCACTGCTGAGTGAGATCTATCCACCTATGAAGTTTCATATTGATATCTCAACGGCTTTTTGAGTTATGCTCTGGTTGAAAAATAACAAAGGGCAATAACTGAAAAATTATGCAGGGTAGATTTATCATTCTGTACTCCTCCTTAATATGATATATCCATCTATGAAGTGTCAAGTTGTTACCTCAAATACTTTTTGAGATATGCTCCGGACAAAAATGTCGGACGGACGGAAGGTCGGACGGACGGACGGACGAAGACTATTTCTATATCCCCCGCCGCCTTTCGACGGGGGATAATAATATTATATTTACGGGTAATCGACGAGATGTTCCGCATATACATCTTGTCAGAAAACACTCCATTCTAAACTAACTTTTTGTATTTCCTGATTAGGGGTTACACGCTCTTTAAGGAAGTGAAAGGTCTGGTGTCAAGGCAACTGTTTTGGTTTTTGTTATCATTTTTTAGCGATTTTAATATTCTTTCTTAAGGAATTAGCCACCATATGCAAGGATAAAGTGTGGCTGTCAAAAAAATGTACATAAATGATTTCATAATGCAAGTTAGAAACTCTCCGTATGTATCAAACTCAAATTGTTATAGCAAAAAATCTAAACGCAGTCGCTGCAACTCAGTGCCCTGCATGATGAATTATAGTTTTTCAAAATAAACTTATACAGGAAAATACATACAGATACTGAACGATTTAGAATGCAAAGATCAGAAAATACCACAGAGCTTGCAGCCCCTTGATTTTAATTGCTATTGTTCCTGAATCACGTGACATTATTCTTGATTATCTTGATGTGGAAGAAGCATAGGATAACGTTATGTTAACATGTTCATCTAAGTTGTAGGAAATAAAATCTATATACTGCTAATACTAGTATAGCGGATCAAATTTTTAGTTCAACGAATTATAGAGCATTTGTTAGAAAATTAAAATGTATGTTCTTGAAGTTTGTTCCATTTTGGCGGAATCTTCGTACCAATAACACAATATGCTCAGAAAAAAATTACACCTATTGTTATAACTAATTTTTTAAATGTTGTTTGGGTTGTATAATTATTTTTAAGAACTGTATATATCCTGTTTATGCAAATTCAAATGAATCAATTTCCCAATTATAAAAAAAATCGAAACGAAAGATTTTTATGAGTAAGGGAACAGTTGACTCGCCTAATTCAGTATATTCATATTATGACAATGAAATTGAAAAACACAAAAGATCAAAACACTATAAACAAAATGGAATGTGAGAAATTCATTGTTCAAAACATTTTAGTACATCTTCAATATACGTATATATTAAGTTAAACATGGACGAACTTTTGATCTAATATATTAACAAAATAAATTGACTACCATTATACAAGACAATCTCATTATCGTTTGTTAATAGGTATATGTAAATTAATTAATTAGTGTAAACAATGTGGTCAAGCACGGTAGACAATCAATCAGAGGGTGCGTCTGACAGCCGGGCTTGTTCCTACAACTTGTTAGCACGTGTACAGCGCACGTCTTCTTAATGATTTACAAATAACCATATTCAGAAAGCATGGAAACTCAATCGGGTTTCATTTTTTTTTTTACGAAAAACTTTTTTTGTCTCTTTTCAGTCGATCCCTTAACGTTATAGTAAGAATAAATCACATTTTGGGCATGTTTTGACACGACAACGTACATCAGAGCAGAATTTTTCATGATAAAAATACAGTTTTCCATTTTTTTGGCTGTCCTCTGAATCAACCCCTAGGCCTAACAATGATACCTGTCCCTAAAGAAGACCTGTGTTTTCTATACGCAAGGAATAATATAATTTGTTTTTATGTAAAATACTACCTTCAGTTTGTAATATTTGTACTACTTTATAGCGTAGCGGTTTTCAGCGTTCCTGTAATAATCTTACTTTCAATCTCGTAAAAAAATTAACGAATCTATTTTTCAAAAATGAAAATATTGCTGCAGTCAGGCGAACAAACTATCATCAGATCCCTCACCCTGGCACTAAATATAGCAATTACTAACAGTTACGTTGTACAGACTAATATAATACTCTCCTTCTACATCATTTGTTTAAAAAAATAAAAAAATCAATAAAAATTGTGTCAATTAAAAACTTTGCTTCCTGGTTTAAAGCATTAGGCACCAGATCGCAATTGTAGGACTTCTAAATATGATCTGTATATAACGAACATGCTATACGTACATAATCATAATTGCCTTTCATTATAACAAATAATAATAAAAAAAACCTACAACAACAAGAGAAACCCAAAAGAAAGACAACTTTTTTGATGAAAACATAAACTTCACCCCATAAATCATTATATTACAAATATCACCTTTCAATAGCCTGATGATATTGTGTTTTACAGATTTTAAGGTTGGTTCGTCATTCATTTAACAAGTTTCCAGTCATGTAGAGCGGCACGTGTCTACATTTTCAATTGGCTGTTTTTTTGGTTGGTTTCTTTGCTCTTTTTTTTTGCTGACCTGATGACCTGATGTTTTCTAGGCTTTATAAACAGCCAGTTTCAGAAATCAGCGCTCAGATCTCTCCATACCTCGCCGGTGATAGGACAAGGTAAGATTTTGTATATTATCATAGATGTATGCGCACGGTTTTAACAAATTATTGTGTTATCTTTTTTAAAGCACTTGTTGTAACTGAAGTAGTTAGTCTTTATTAGACTCAATCAAACCGAGTCTGCAATTTTCATGTAATTTTGTTGTGATTAATGCTTCCGAGGGATCACTTAGTTTCCAGATTTTTTTTTAACAAATCCAGTGTCATTTGTCTGAATAGTTTCTCTTCAAATTAAATTTTCTTTTTTCTTATTTGTAAATAAATACATACAAATGGCATACTTGATATAAAAAGCAAATAAAAGCAAAACAAATTACAGTAAAATTTAGTAATTTAAGTCAATTTCTGCGTTTACTGAGTTTGGAGGAGTCTGGCTACCTCAGTAATGTGAATTCCTGTGTCATATAAGTTAATGATTTATATTCCATTCATTACTTTGTAATCTTCATTTCATTTTGTAGATGAAGGCTGTTTTAGTATACTTGTTGTCGTTTTTACTGGCCGCATCAGCCGCCAACTGGAAGGGATATGGCGGTGGTTATAATGGAGGTGGAGGATTTGGTGGCGGAGGATTTGGCGGCGGCGGAGGATTCAACGGCGGTATGAAAAAATAGCTGTTTCTTTTACATCACGACTGAAAAGCAATGTTTCAGATTTTTGTTTATTAAATGTAAATAGGTATAAACATAGGATATTAAAAACGTTGTATTCTCTTGCATGTATGTTCACTAGAGTTGTAGTGCGCACATTAACATATCAATTAACGTTAAATACAGGACTGTAACAAGTCATTTTCAGTTACATTAATTTAAGATATTTCTAAATATTTTATTGATTAGGTAACAACGGCGGATTTGGTGGTATGGGAGGATTCAATGGAGGTGGATTTAACGGAGGAGGCGGATTTAACGGCGGAGGATTTAACGGAGGTGGATTTAACGGTGGTATGATATATATGTGTGGAATGTAATAAATTAAATTAATATAACATAATGTATTAAGTTATTATATTATATACATGCATATTGTCGTGTTTGACACTGTTGAATTTTACCATTGCTGTATAAAACATGTATTTTTAACTCTATAAATGTAAAGATTTTTATTGACACGTTATAAAATGATCTGTTTTCACTAAAACCTGATAATTGTAAATTCCATCGAAGATTTGTCATTGACATTATTTTATAGATTACGACACGTTTCTATCAAGAGAGCGTTGAAATAATAATAATAATAATAATAATAATTATAATAATAATAAGGATAGACAATTTATTATTTTTATCAAATGTCTTACAGGAAATTTCAACAACGGGGGCGGATACGGTGGAGTAGGAGGATACGGTGGCCGTAGAGGCGGAGGCTTCATTGGAGGCGGGGCAATCGGTGGATGTGGGCGTTACGGCTGTGGTGGTATTGGAGGTATCCGCGGGGGATTTTACAGACCTAGATACCCCAAATACGGCCGAAAAATGAGGGTACAGCAGATTTATTTATATTTTCCTTTTTACTTACATTCGAAATGTTATCTTTTATATTAACACTGCAGAGCAGGGCATTCATCTCTCAATCTCTTGGCGTCCATTAGATATACATGTAATGCAATATTTTTGTGTTTTTTTTTTTTACGTTTTCAGGAAAGCACTATTTTTTTTGTCTATAAATCAACGTCATATCTAACAACTTAACATATGTAATGGTATTACTCAAATGTTGATACTGACAACATTTTGTAAAACGAATCTTTCATTAACCTTATTATAAATCAATTAGAAGATAAGCAATATATTTATATTTGCAGAAATTCGGTTAAATACACTGGAACCTTGACAAATTCAACACTGCATCAACCATCGACCGGAAGTAGACCAAGGAATGACTCATTTTCACGTGCCGCTCACACATTCTGTATATACTTATTGTTTTCTTATAAACTTTTTATTTTTGGCCAAAAATAAACTGTTTCGCAAGCTCTTAAAGATTCTTGTTTTGTTTTCTTTTTCTATATTATAAAATACACCGATGGCATGAACTACTGCATAATGTCATGCAACATACTTGTTTGTGGCCCAGTGGTTAACATGATCATGTCCCCTACCCGCTGAGTTTCGAATCCCGAAATGGACTTTCGATTCCTAATGTGAGGAAGCTATCCAGCTAGCTTACGGAACGTATAATATGAATATAGAAAGTTGCTTCTTTATCATTAAAAACACGTTAAGCCTCAGAAATGGCTACATCTTTCTATCTTGATAAGGCCAAGCATGTGTCTTGCAACATTTGATTAACAGATTTAAAATCATGTTAGATGCTCATCACTGGTAGGAAATAGCGCTGACTGTGAAATTATCTGTCATAAAAGTAAAAGAAGTATTTCGACTTCCATACAAAATAAATCACCCATGTACTTTTTGTTAAAAACAGCAAACTACCTTATGGCAAACAATTTCATTTAAGTAAACTGTTACAGGGCAGCAAAATTAAACAGGTTTTTGAGAAATGATTACAGTAGCATTTAGGCCTAATGGACCTTTAACTTTTTCAGCTAAAGTACAACATTGACCATGTACTGATATCAAATTAAATGGAATTTGTTATGAACTTGTAACAGATAACAAATTAATATTAAATATGAATATACATGTACTAAACCAGTTAAATCATTGTTCAGCCAAGGCAATCATGACTCTCAGGCAATCATATAGTATTCCCTTTAATGTCAGTGAACAAGAACAAGTTTAAAAACTCAAAAGTTATTTTACTTTTATTTAAGTTTAAATCACAGAAGCTCAAAAATAAAAATAGCTCAATATGTATACAAAATTATACAATATAAAGTTAATGAAAAACATGAATACATAATGACTTTAGGAAGGAAATTCCAATCAAAAAAACATGAAAAAGAAAAGTGACATTAACTAAAAGTTGCATGACATGATATTTACTGATACAGTATTTGTTACTTTACTGCTATTGAGTTTGACGAACTACTATCTCAATTGATAAATAAATGAAAGGTACTGTAATAAAATATAGAAGTTCTTTAGAAAGAGTGTTGCCTACAAACTGACTGATAAATGATTGTATTAAATGTATATTAAGTACATGTATATAAATCAGATATATGTGTATGGAGAAACGCAACATCAAGGTAATTGAGCCCTTGATCAACACAAGATACATGTACTATACATTTGTATGTAACATACAAACTTAATCAGATTTCTATTTCATAAATATATACACTTTGTACTGCTTAAAGTTAATATCATCTTAATACCTGTTACTTTTGTAAAGAAGATCTATAACTTACTGCTAGAAACAGTAGATAAATTACATACCAAATTTATTCATTAGTGCCAGCAATCAAATTTCCATCTCTGATTCCACGTCTACAAAATAATAGCTTATAATTACCAGTCCCCGGCCCCGTGTTCACAAAGATTTCAGGATCAGGATCAAGATCAGGATCAAATTGAAAAACTCTAATATTCTTCATTTTTTATTGTCATATATTAAATATCTAATATTAATTTGATAAAACTGGACTTGCAATGGCAAATTAATAAAGTTTTAGAATAAATTTATTGTTATTTTTACAAGATACGGGCATTTTACAGTTCGATCCAAATATTGATCCTGATCCTAAAACTGATCCCTTAGTTTTGATCCAAATATTTTTTATTTGTGTTGTTATTTTCTAATTTTATCCCAAAAAACAGTTTTTGATTTCTTTTCAAATCGGCAATTTTTTACATTTTTAATAATTATTATTTAATTCTAGCAAATCACAATAAATTTTAGTAACATAAAACAATGAAAATAAAATCAGGATCACTTGATCCTGATCCTGATCTTTTCTTTGTGAACACGGGGCCTGGTGTTTACATTTTGACGAATACACATATTGATTGTGATACTCTTCAACACAGACAAATAAACTAAATGGAAACATTGAGTTAGCATTTACAAATACTTCAGAACAAAAGCTAACATTTACTGATGTTATTACCCTGTGTTTAAACAAATTAGTGAATTTCACATACTATGATGATAGAAAGAAATACAATAAAAATATCTGGAAAAAAAGTGATCCCTCGGAAGCATTAAAAACAATTGCATTTTAATTGCAGACTTGGTTTGATTAAGTCAATACATGAGGGATAATGAAAAAGCCATGACGTTTTATACAAGCAAATAATGAGATATCTTTTTAACTGTGTAACTTGCTTAAAGTAAAGTTAATAAATATGATATAAATTTTGGACTATCATTAAAGTGGCATCACTCAATATTATCAACTTGCATTTGATAAGAGTAATATTAAATGACAATATTTTTTTAGTTTATATCACTATTATATATTCTAATTAAATATATATCTTTTCAGAGGTCAGTCAAATGTAAAAAGCTTTTATAAAGTACCAAAAATATCTATCCTCTGCATGTTTAGAAATTAAAAGAGACAAACAATGGTAGATAACTGTTGTAACACAATATAATTCAACATATAACTAATGATGTAAATGTTGTGAGAACAGCAGATGAGGTTAATTATAATATAAAGTTTACAATGTTGACCAAAATTACAGTTACAACATATAAATAATCATGCATTAACATCAAAGATTTATTGTAATAAACGTTCAATAGAATTTGAAAACTTTAAAGAGCAGCCCTGAACAAAAATGAAATCTACTTTAATATGAAGCCTAGCAAACAAGAAAAACACTAGATTGTGAATAATATACAATACATGAAAAATCTTTCTAGTTGAATTAACATTTGCTATACATCTTGAAAATTCTGACTGTAACGATCTTCAAGTTCAATGAAAGAATGATGTCCAACTTTATAATCATAGTTTCTTACATACCAACAATTCATTTATACTAATTAAATTAGTGTGACTGTGTTGAAAATTATGAGCTCGCTGCAACACTCTAAAAAGTTTCCTGGAATCAACCAGTACTAAGCAATGAGTGTAAAGTTTCTTGCTCACGGAAACAACAGCTTGCCCCTGACCAGTTTGAACCCACACGGTCAGCAATCTTTAAATTTACTAGTCTGCCATGTTAACCACTCAGTTACATTAATATCACAACAAATCTGAACTCAATAGTCATTATTTAAAGGTAAATTTTGTTAACTTCAATCATTAGTTAGTACAAGAACTTATACAGGAAATACAGATAAGTAATCAAGACTATATTTTCCTGCTAGCCCTTTATTATTTTATTATATATCAGCTCTAACTTACTTCAAATTACCACTCCCCTCTACACACATCATTACAATATCCATAAACAAAGGTGTCTAGAAAATATTCAAATTGTCACCAAAATTCATATATTTAAAAAGAATGTTTAGATTTGTTGACTTCAAATACATTATTTCAACAGTTGATTAAATCATCATTAAAATCATTTATATTGAAGTTATGAAGACAATAAAAAGATGGTAAAGACAATTCTCACATTCAATAAAGAAATTATGTAAAAACATTTAAACAATTAAAACATGTTATCAATGTGTTATTATCTATGCTGGTCAATTAAAAATACCAATTGAAATACTTAAACTTGTTCTTGTCAGGCTGATTTCAGAGAAAATATTTAAACTTGTAAATACTGAAGAGTTAAGATTGTTACATCCACCTGAAACTTGACACTTGAATCAACAGACTTGTTCCATGTATACGTGTATATCTTTTTATCATTAAATTTTCCTTTCATTTGGAAATCTGCACTGTATAACCATAGAATACTACGATGAAGTTTTTTTAACATGAATCTTGTCTAATATGATGTCCATCTTTGCTGTCTTCTGATTAACAAATGTATCTCCTATACAACTAAAGGTGAACTAATGTTTGAATGTATTTTGACAATATATAGGTATGTATGTAGGAGGAACACAGAATACACAAACAGGAATATTATGATTGACATCATGATGATGGGGGGGTTGTGAACTATCGATTATTTAATGTGACATTGCTCATCTTCCTCCACTAGATTCAGTAAGCACACAGATTTCAAGCTGATCATTAAGTTAAGGAATATAGATCTACAAAAATATAAATAAATTCAATATTAATGTTCTTAAAATTATGACTTTTCAACATCACTGATGGATGAAGACCATGTGGGGCTCTTATGTTGGAAAATATTACGGGTGAGAATAAATCATACAAAATATATCATGAAAACATCCTAACAGCATCAACAATAGCTTCAAACTCAAATCTGATTACTGTTTTGTTTGGTTTTACGGGGCAACAACACAGATTAAGTCATATTGCCCCCAAACAGGAAAGATGATTTTGTTAACCCTCAGGTGTTAACAAACTTAAAGCAACTTCAGGTGTCAAAGCCACCTCACCTGCTGGAGCTGAGACATGCATAGACTCCAATGATTGGAACACATTTAGTCACCTCTTACCAACATGCACAGTAAATTAGTGGGTGCAATTCTGATGCCTCAACTCATAAAGGCAACCCCACAAGGGGAAAACTCAAATTTGACATTCTAGTGATAAAAGGGACAAGCTATTAAATAAGAAGCACATAGATCTGTTATTTTTACTAACAAAAAATGGATATATGTCTATGTAAGGGTCTTTAAAAGATCTTAATTTTAAAGCCTTTTTCCCCAAGGCAAAAGTGTTAAGCCTTTTTGTCAGGCCAGTCTAATAGGTTCAATTGTTGCTTGCTCATTTCATTTTTTTGTATTGTGTATTTATTGAAATTCCTTAAAACATAAATGGACTGTTCCAAATCAAAGAAAGGTAAATCCTCCATTACAAATATTTTGCAAGTTAAGTACCGAACTGAATGAAATAAATATTATAATTATAACACTGCATGCTTGTAACATTGCATTTCATTGGCTAATCATGATGTACATACAGTTTTATATAAATGGCTGTTGTCAATGTATGAAGAAATCTGATTTTTTCATAAAAAGAGTAAGTTTGCTGCATTATTAAGATTCTTGACAGGTTATATGGCTGTATATAAAAGGCTGTTTACAATATAACCCTTGCTGCTATGAAGATACCCATTTATACTGTATAAAATCTTTATAACTAATAATATTAACCCTTTCACAGTTCAAAACAAAAGTTGAATAATGGTCTTTTCCTACCATGAAGTTGTAACTTTCCATTTATTGGCTAACTGACACTAACAGTGAGTAGACTGCAATAAAAGACTTAAGGGTTTTGACATACAGCAATGGCAAGAAAGTTTGCCTGACCCAAAACTGGACACATTTGCCTCATATTATAGATTTTGACATATACAAGATTAAAGGATACGACACGGAGACCTCTCTCTACTGGATCTATTATCATCAAACCTCTAGGTACATACACATTCTGGTTCTGTTCATCAATGTAATGGCGGATTTTCTTCAACATCTGAAATACAGGAGGAATACTACAGATATGACTTTACAAGATTTACAAAATGGTTAAAGTTAAATCAACATTGTACAAATAAAGATACTTATATACTTCAAATGTCAATACAGCTACTGAATTGCCATACAGTCAAAAGCAATTTGCAACATAGATATCTGATATTTTACAAGTGAAAGAATGTGTAGCCACTTAAAATTATGAAAATAAAAGCTATTCAAAATAACAGCCATTTTCCTCACATTGCTTTTGTTTGTTTGTTAGACTTTAAATCACACAGACACTGTTAAAGTAGTAAGCTTTTCTCAGGGAGGAAGATCTAAGGTGCCCTTTGTGTATTATTACAAGCATATGCAGGCACCCGAATAGGGCATCCCCTCCACCTCCCACCTTTCATAAGCTAGCTGGATAACCTCCTTGGATATAAAATTTCAAAATCTCTAACATGACCACAAAACAACAGCAGTGAGAGGCCAGTGGTTTAAAATAAGTCAGTGACCTTAACCACCCAGCCAGGTATGTCCTCCCATATAGACTGTAGCAAATGAACCATAAGGTAACTTGTAAGATTATAGACAAAGAAAGAATACTTTAGAAATAAAGAGATATATTACGAAAGATACAAGTATAATAAAGTGTATGAAACCTTCTCATAGTGGGTATCGAAGCAGATATATGAGAGGTATGCTGTAAGACAAGCAAGACAACTTTCACAATAAGTCTTCCCACTAAGTGTCTCTGCTTCCAGATACATGCTGTTTAACTTGCTTACTGTCTCCTGGAATGTAGCTGCATCAATCTGTAATCAAATATATATATATCAACTTTCTATCACAACATGTTGCTTCTTTTCATTGTAATAAAATTATAGCTGTTATAATGTATTTTCTTCAAAATTACACATTTTAATATAAAATATCATCCCATGTACAATCATTTATTCTCCCCCTACTAAAAGCATTTATAAATGGTTTCTTATACATGTAGATATTGTTGCATAATAAATGTAACACTAACAACAGGGCTATAGTGGCACTGCATCACTCAAAATTTATAGTATATTTCGTGAAACACAACTGTAACCAGAATGATTAATTATAATCTGAAAACTTTTGCATTGATTATCATTGACTTCATTCCGTGGGATTCAAAAGCAATCTCTTGGGGAAGTTATCACTATAAGCTTGCCATAAACTTGGTTTGATTACAATATCTCATTTTAAACTGAAGTTATCTACCAGGAACCATTTTTCTGTATTTATATTTATGTTCAGTGATTTTGACCCAATTGGCCCAAAAGCAATCCAAAGTAACTTGCCAAGGTTTTACATAAGCTTTCTTTACACCAATTTAGGTTACTATAGTTTATCTCATTCCTTACTCTTAATTATTCCCTAAAAACCACTGACAACTGACTGCCCAAATGCTCGCCCTTCATTTGCTATTAAATATAATATTAAATGAAATCTAATGTTTGAAAACCTAGTTAGTAATTGATAATGATATAAAATTATACCTTTCCTTCCAAATCCTGTGGAAATTTGGTTTGGAAACTTAGAGTCGTCCCATTGGAGTAGTCCCGCTGGACAAACACCTTTGGACAATGACTCACGGGTATCCGTGATAGATCATCCATCTTTTGACCTGAAAAAAAAATTGCAAAAATTAAATTGTAATATTTTATTCAAAGTATATTGCAATTATTCAATATTGTAGTAGTTACAAAGAGCTCCAGCCAACCCTAAGGAGGTGGCTGATTGATGCTGCTGAGTGAAGCTCATGCTTAATCTTTCTTTTGGCTTATTAGGAGAGCTCCACTGAGGTCCAAAGGTCTAAAAAGTTTAAATTTGATATTCTTATATAGATAAACAGAACTTTAATAAACTTGGGCACCATAAAGATAGAAATACATGTATTGAACCAATAATATATAGAAATATTAAACTGAGTATTATTAAACTGAGTATCAAATTTTTGTTCAATTCTTATAAATGTTTTCATTTTGATTTAAGTTTCCCATGTAATTGTTTAAGGTGCCTGGAATATTGCAGTCTGCGAAATAAGCAGTTGTCCCATTGCCCGAGACAACCATTTTTTGGCCCAAACAACTAATTTTTAAAAGTTTACTTGCCCGATGGAAAAGTAAAAATTTTCAGAAAGTATTCATCAAAATGTCAACGAATAGTGATAAAATGCAAGATATCAAATACAATTAGTTTGCTTACATTTATGACTGTTTCTTACAGATGATAAGTTTGCAAATTTGATCAATAATTGCTTGGAGATGTTCTGATGAAAATATTCAAACAACCAGTTTTTACTTTGGACAACAGAGATTGGTTGCCTGGGTGACAAAAATTTTTAAACCCTAATTTCACAGACTGATATTGTGATCATATGTCAAATATAGATTCTAGTTTTTTACCCAGGTGACCCATATTCAAACTTGACCTAGAAATCATCAAAACAAACTTTCAGACCAATTTCCAGGATACTTGGATCAAAACAGTAGCAACTAGAGTGTTAACAAGATTTTTCTATTTTTAGCTCCGGTGACCTAGTTTCACATGCGATTTCGAACTCATCCGAGCAATTACCTAGACAAGCATCCTGACCAAGTTTGATGATAATTGAGTCGAAAATATGACCACTAGAATGTTAACAAGGTTTTTCAATATTTGGGCGGTGTGACCTAGTTTTTCATCCAAGATGACCCATGTTCGAACTTGACATAGAAATCATCAAAACAAACTTTCAGACCAATTTACAGGATATTTGGATCAAAACAGTAGCCACTAGAGTGTTAACAAGAGTTTTCTATTTTTAGCTCCTGTGACCTAGTTTTTCATCCAAGATGTTCAATGTTTGAACTCATCCAAGCTATCAAATAGACAAACATTCTGACCAAGTTTGATGGTGATTGAGGCAAAATTGTGACCGCTAGAGTGTTAACAAAGTTTTTCTATTTTTAGCTCTTGTGACCTAGTTTTTCATCCGAGATGACCCATGTTCGAACTCATCCGAGCTATCAAATAGATAAGCATCCTGACCAAGTTTGATGATGATTGAGGCAAAAATGTGACCGCTGGAGTGTTAACAAGGTTTTTCTATTTTTAGCTCCGGTGACCTAGTTTTTCATCTGAGATGACCCATGTTCAAACTCATGCAAGGTATCACCTAGACAAGCATCCTGACCAAGTTTGATGATGATTGAGGCAAAAATGTGACCGCTAGTGTGTTAACAAAGTTTTTCTATTTTTAGCTCCGGTGACCTTCTTTTTCATCCGAGATGACCCATGTTCGAACTCATCCAAGCTATCACCTAGACAAGCATCCTGACCAAGTTTGATGATGATTGATGCAAAAATGTGGCCGCTAGAGTGTTAACAAGGTTTTTCTATTTTTAGCTCCAGTGACCTACTTTTTCATCCAAGATGACCCATGTTCAAACTCATCCGAGCTATCACCTAGACAAGCTTCCTGACAAAGTTTGATGATGATTGATGCCAAAATGTGACCGCTAGAGTGTTAACAAGGTTTTTCTATTTTAAGCTCCGGTGACCTACTTTTTCATCCAAGATGACCCATGTTCGAACTCATCCAAGCTATTACCTAGACAAACATCCTGACCAAGTTTGATGATGATTGAGGCAAAATTGTGACCGCAAGAGTGTTAACAAGGTTTTTCTATTTTTAGCTCTTGTGACCTAGTTATTCATCTGAGATGACCCATGTTCGAACTCATCCTAGCTATCAACTAGATAAGCATCCTGACCAAGTTTGATGATGATTGAGGCAAAAATGTGACCGCTGGAGTGTTAACAAGGTTTTTCTATTTTTAGCTCCGGTGACCTACTTTTTCATCCGAGATGACCCATGTTCGAACTCATCCGAGCTATCACCTAGACAAACATCCTGACCAAGTTTGATGATGATTGAGGCAAAAATGTGACCTCTAGAGTGTTAACAAGGTTTTTCTATTTTTAGCTCTTGTGACCTAGTTTTTCATCCGAGATGACCCATGTTCGAACTCATCTGAGCTATCAACTAGATAAGCATCCTGACCAAGTTTGATGATGATTGAGGCAAAAATGCGACCGCTAGAGTGTTAACAACAAAATGTGAACGGACGGACGACGGACAATCATTGATCCTAAAAGCTCACCCTGAGCATGCTCAGGTGAGCTAAAAAACTGAAATAATTGTAACACATGCTATTATAGGAATCGATATTTTTTTTCAATATAGAATATACAATGAAGGTACAGAAACAAAGAGTAAAGTATAAATCATATCAATTTATTTATTAATTTAATCAAACAATGTTGACGGTGACAAAAGAATTATAGATATTATGGCTCCTGTTTTGTAACATTACATGACCGAATGTTTCCATTTTCACTTGCATGAACAACTAACTTTCCTTACCTGATAATTAAATGTGTTAGATTTTTCAATATCAAGGAAATAATTACGAGTAGCTATTAATTGTGAGATATTTATAAACATTGAAGTTAACATTGAATGCAACAAGTATCTAATCTTAAATGGTTTTGGTAAAGATTTAATCTTTAAAAAAATATATAAGAGGTATCGTAATTCTTTTCATATATGGTTGTAATATATATTTGGAAATTGGCGTTCCACTTCATGAAAATTGTTATTTATGATTATTATAACTATGAAATTTTAATATACCGGTTTAAAACACAGGGCTTATTCTGGGGCCGATTTGGTAAAGGGTAATTTGGGGCCGATACGTCTTGGGGCAGAAACATCTCGAAATCACTTAGACTGAGCTGATTGTTTTGGTTGTTAAGGTAATTTCAAACTACACTAACAAAGTTCTATGCTCCTGCGTTTATGAATAAATTATGTAAATGAGCCACGTTGAGCCGCCATGTTGGAGTTTCGGTAAGTGTATTAGAAATTGCTACCTGTTCGTTTTGAAAGCTCGTCCTAACTTACAGTTTCCTTGAATGTAGGAAAACTTGGTTTTGTTTGATTGCATACTGAATGATAGGTATTACAAAATAAATATAATGAAAATCGATCCATCAATAATTGTATACGAGCGTTATAAAGTCAATTTAATTTGTCAGAATAATAAGATTCTGTTGCAGGGTATCGGTAAAAGACTGCTTTTTTTCCCCGTTTTTGAAATTTATTTGAACACGGAGACAATTTTTCTCAAACAGGTTTATGAATATACTTTACGTTGCAACAGAGTTTACCGTGTGTCCATTCCTTATTTAAAATGTCTAAGAAGTTAAATCTGTTTGTTTACATGTAAATGTGTACCGTCATTTTGACCGACTGGAATAAAAACTATTATGACGGTGATTATACCGCATATGTAATGAAAATTACGCCGTGTAGTGCAAAGTTTTGGACATTGCAATTAAAATTAACGCTTACGTTGATTCAAACTGTTCCTTGTCAGCAAAATTGAAACCGAAAGTAGTGGTTGTTCTGGAATTTAATCAAATAAAATGGGTGGGATTTAACCACCGCGCATGCTCTGTGTGAACTTATAGTTTACATCCGGTCGTAGCATAGGGTAACCCGGTAAGAGTGCAAACTTTGTTAGTGAACTAATTACCTTCAAAAACTTTTATTAATACAGGATATAGCTCTGTGTTACCAACTTCATAATTGTCCTTAGTAAAAAAAACTTCGGTAAGAGAACTGTCCGCGCTAATGAAAAAATTACGGAAAGGATATGATATTTGAGGACATAATAATATTTTGTCCAGATACCATGTTGATTGTTGTGGTGAAGACCATTTTCGCCGTTTGAATTAGTTAGAGATCAAATAAACAGCGAATAAAATTTGTGGTGTTACAAATCTTCTATCAGAAAAGAATGATTTCATTGTAATTTTTAAAGAAAATCTATAGTTTCTTACCCATTTGACAATTTTATCAATTGTTTTTATTCATCACAAAATTTCATTCACATCCGGGCTATTGAAAATGTTAATTCAACGTTATGTCAGCTTTGATTGGTCAATTTATCAATTATTTGTATTGAAGAATTTGATTGGTTCTTTTTCATTGGGCATATTTGATTTTATCATCGGTTGGATATGATATATATAGTCCTATATAAAACATATAGCGTTGTATGGCTGTAGGTTCGATCCTCACTCGGGTACAAATCTTTCATGTGAGGAAGCCATCAAGCTGGCTTACGGAAGGTCGGTGGTTCTACCCAGGTGCCCGCTCGCACCTGGGGTCTTCCTCCACCAATAAAGCTGGAAAAAAAATCGACGAAAAATCTCGGCCTCGGCGGGACGCTCTAGGATGGCCCGACTTGAATGTACGGTCGCCCATATGGGCTTTCCGGCGGCGACCTTAAATAAACGCATATAAAAAAGCTTTGTATGAGATAATCTTCTCTCTTCCCCTCGGTACGTGTATGTCGTTGAGAAGACACAGGGCATCCGCAGAAGATTAGAAAACCCGCTTAACATCGCATATATATTTCTTCTATGATGTCATTTTAGTAATTCGTTAAAATTATGGACGTCAGTTCCGTTATTTTTTGTTGAAATTGCCAGAAACGCCAGACGACGATATTGTTTACAACGGGAAAATGACGGACACGCAGAAGTTAGAAAATAGGGTGATCATAAAATCTTGTTGTAATTTGGGAATGATCCCAACAACAACATTTGGAAAAAACAGCCGGCGAACAGAGAAAATAAAAAAAATCTATCATTAGTGTTTAAGTGACAGAAAAAAATAACGATGGACATTACTTTGTTAAGCAGTAATGGTAATTGACCGCGTTACGTTGAAGCACAAGTTGTACGTTAAATATAATGACATTGACGTCAATAGCTTTTTGGAGTGCGCCGCTGTCGCTGACATGTGTTTATGTGAAATTAGATATTGTTTTAATATAAGAAGCTACTAACATGAATTTTTCTGTGTTTATTTGTTATCTATTCTTCTAAGCAGTGTAAAAATTTCAAATCAATATCTCAAATTATTTTATGCAAAAAAGAAAGTCCACGAACTTTTGGATAATCCCTCGTATATATGACAGTGATATTTTTTTTATATTTTTATGCCAAAGAATGTTTTTTTACAGAATTGTTTTCAATTGAAATGTCTTATTGTATCCACTTATCTGAATAAGGCAGGTCAGGGATCTATGCATTGAACCTAATCTATAAATGTAGGTCCATATCAGCTTGTCTCTCTGTTGGTATATGATTTAATTACCATACATAAGGATTACGCAAGTGTCCTTTTAATTTTATTTTATAAATACTTTCACAACATTGGATAGATAAATAAATCCTTAATTTTTCTTGTTTTAATACATTTTATTTTATTCCAGTTTAACAGTCCTCTGATATAACCCTAACACATACATGATAAAGTATCGACTTCTATGCCAATAAAAGATTCAGAATTTATAGTATAATTTTCCCGCCAAAACAAATTTGATATGCATGAAACTTAATGCCAATTATGACAAGACTAAATAAGCGTGCAATCACTACACCGTCGGGGAACTCATACAAAAGATCTTATCTTATAAATGCACGGATAAAATAGATAAAATGAATACATGAAATACACGTGAAGATGATTAATAATGTCATCGCCGGAGAAGTATAACAAAGAAAATATCAATGTATATTACTATAAATGTAAACTTAAAATATTCGCAATAAAAGAGAATGCACTGTTGGTTAGTTCTTCTAAGAAATAAAAAAACAAGTAAATCCACATTTTACAAGCGACAACGACGAAAATTGTACTGTAGTGAAAATATTCTGTGGGGATCTGTCTAGGTTTTACATTTTTCTGTATAAATAGTGTAAATTAGTTCAAAATGGATAATGCTTTAAAAAGTCGTATAATTTCAACGAATTAAATTGTGTCAATTATCAAGCAAACGAGTCTAATAAAGGAGAAAGGACATTTTGAAATATTTCATTCATGGAAATATATCGCCGATAAACGAAGAAAGATGCACTGTGGAATATATTTGACTTGATAATATAAAAGCTATCTGCTCGTTAATATCATATTTCTATACCTAAAAAAAAAAACAGAAAAAAACACAAAACACACACACACGCACGCACGCACGCACGCACACACACACACACACACATACACACACACAAATAAATATAGATAAATAAATTTTGAAGTGAAAGAGAGAAAAAACTTCTAATTTTTTCCTTTGAAGTATTAAAAGAAAAAAAGTTAGATATTAAATGTATGGGAATTTGACGGGTAATTTACAATATAAGAGTGAGGCAGACCAGTGCAGCATAGCATGATTAGCTGAAATTTGTGATGAAGTTCATTAGAAAATACGAAATGATTACAAATGGTATTTTTATTTGGGGATTTAGATTTGCCCTTGTCAGTCCGTCCATGCGTTTGTCCGTTCCAGAATGTTATTTCAAGTATAACTCTAAAAGTGCTTGAGCTACAGTCAACAAACTTTACGGTAATGTCGATCAGCACGTGAAGTTATGCACCTGGGATACGCTTATGGATTTATACAGTGATTGTAGAGTGAGGGATGTTACACGTATCCATTATCCCTCATGTACAGACTCAATCAAACCGAGTCTGCAGTTCTCTTGTAATTTTGTTGTGATTAATGCTTCCGAGGGATCACTTTGTTTCCAGATTTTTATTGTTCTTGACTTAGTAAAAATATGGAAATATTCAAATTGAGTTGCGCATAACTCAAAAAGAATTTGGCATACAGTTATGAAACTTTACTGGACTGTTGGTCCGCATATGTGAATTGTGCATTTGGGGTTATGCTTTTTACTGTCTTTAAGCCAGATGCGTAGATGCATCTCTGTTTAAACATACTTTAATTAGGATATGCAATTTAGATCTGAAACTTTGCAGCTCAATAATTGGAGAAAAAAAACAGGATGTCAACATTGCAAAAAATTGATATCAGTTTTATGCTCCAACAACCTAGGGGTAGGGAAAGTCATGTAGAATTTCTTTTATCTGGCCGTCTGCCACACTTCCCTGCTGTACGTTAGTAGACTGACAAAACAGTGGAATGTTGGGTCAACAATAGAAACATTTCTAGATTTACATTACCTGCATTTTAGCACGGATTTATGTAATATAAATCCGTGATTTTAGTCATAATCATAAATAAATCTTTGCATGAAATACATTGTATATCAGTCTAGATCTATAAAATGATGGATGGATGATGTCTTTCAATCCCAGCAAATGCGAAGTAATACACATCACCAACAAAAGAATTAAGCCCCATCATTTCTGCCTACAAGGTCGATCACCAATTAATCAACTCTTCAATCTGTCAAAAGTGGAAAGTACCTTGGTGTCAACATCGCAAATAATCTTTCATGGAACATACACACAGAATCTACCACCAAGAAGGCCAACAACTCTCTATCATTCCTTAGAAGAAACATCACAAGCTGCCCACAAGACATCAATTAAGGCCCAGGCCTACAAGACCCTTGTTAGACCAATCCTATTATCATTATATGAGTAAAACTAAGACTATTAATCATTGGTCACAATGCATAAACAGTGGCACCGTTGTAGAGCATTTGACACTTAATTATAAGCACAACTGGTGACTTAAACTTTAAAGCGAATGTCTAAGTCCCTAATATGTTGAGTAGGGACAAAAATTACGTCATTGATTTCAATCATGTATTCTGTAATTAGAGTTGTTCATTTTGTCTAAAACTCTAGATACTCACACCGGGTGTTAGACATTACGGAAATTAGACAGTATCAAGATCGTAACATAAGTAACAAAGAAACGAGTCTGCCCAAGTTGTTTACATGTCGGTGTACCTTATGACTTTTTGTTTAAGAACTTAACGTTTTATTTATCTTATATGATCTCATTATAAATGCTGTCATCATGACAACAGTTAGCTTGAATACTTCAGTCTACCAGACATTGCTAAAGAATATTTGTTCTTAACGGGTAAAACACATTTACTTTCTGTTTAAGATCGAGATCTACATTTATTTGCCACCACCCACCCACCTTGCATTTGTTCATTTGTCTGGCTATGCCCAGTATGCCAACATGTTTAGCTGTATAGGTTAATCTCAGACAGGAAGACCACTACGAATTTTCATTTTGTCTAAAACCTGTCTTCAACTTGAACTGTCAGCATTAATATTCTAAAATCTTTAAAATACCAACACTTACAGTACTTTTAACTGCTATTGAGCATATATACATGCTTATTTTATCCCATACTCATGCCGATTTTGTCACTCTGTAATTATGGTATTTCACCACTTTGCATATAATTTGATGTGAAGTCATTTAGGTTATTTGAGGTCCCTGTAACATCTGGCATCCCTGAAGGCTCCGTCCTTGGTCCCCTTCCAGTGTCTATTCTAGGAAGGGGGATGGAGGGATTTACCCCTATTTTTGAGAATTCCCCCCTATTTTTTCAGAGGCAGGGGGAAAATTTTACTTAGAGAAATAAGGAAAAAAATCAACATATGTAATAAATTCTCACTTTTCGATAAAAATCCTCCCTGTTTTTCAAATCCTAGAATAAACACTGCCTTCTCTTTCTGTTATATATAAATGACCTGCCTGAAAATTTAGTTTCACAGGTCCGGTTATTTGCCGATGACACTGCTGTTTATGTAGCTGTCAATAACAATTCCCAAGAAAGGATCTTACAACAAGACCTTGACAGGTTATGTGAACAGCTATGGGAAAGTAAATAGGACATGGATTTCAACCCCTCTAAGTGTACAGTGCTAAATATCACCAAGTCAAAACACCCATTCAAATCAGTATATTCACTCCATGGCCAAGTCCTAGAAAATGTCAATGACGCAAAGTACCTGGGTGTCACTTTCTCCTCTGATCTAAACTGGACCAAACCAGTGATTTTCCTACTTATATAACAGACTCCGAAAAAAGCCTCTTCCCAATTTAAATTTTCTTTAAAATCATGCAGTTTTCTCAAAAATCTTAACTTAAACCAGCTTTTTTACTTCCCAAATCAGCAATTTTAGTGATAATTTTTCCCAAAATCAAGAGGCTAAGGCCTCTTCCCAATTAAGTAAGAAAAATCACTGCAAACATGTCAATCAGGTTACCTCTAAGGTTAGTAAAACTCTAAACTTAAAAAGAAATATCCCTTCTAAAAATTCAAGCGTAAGGGAATTTGCATACAAAACCCTGGTTAGACCCCAGTTTGAATATGCCAGTTCTGTCTGGTGTCCTTACACTCAGCAGAACATCCACAAAGTTGAAATGGTCCAGCGCAGAGCTGCGCGATTGGTTACTAAAGACTATTCTACATACATGTACAGCAGTGTCTCCCTTATGTTAGATCAGTTAGGTTGGCATTCCCTGGAAAAAAGGAGAACTGATGCCAGACTCCTTATGCTTAACAAGATTGTGCATGGACTGGTTGCAGTGCCCATACCCCCTTATGTTCAGCCCTCCCTCTGTCTCACCTGACACTCACACCCTCTTTTTTTCCGGCAGATTCCCACTTTATGTAACGGCTACAAATATTCTTTTTTTCCAGCAACTATAGTCCTCTGGAACTCACTGCCATCTGAACTTGTGCAGGTCCCAACCCAGGGAATGACCACTCTTCCCCACTGTGTTTGAAATGAAAATATTGTTTTTATCTGTTTTAGCTGTATACTTCCTCTTTTTAACTAACACTATCAACTTTTTATTTCAACTCTCACAAATACATGTACAGTAATACTTTTATTCTCCTTTACATTTCTTCTTTTAAACTCTCGCGTAGACACGCACCTGCACATGTTACTCGAAAGAGGGTCTGGGTGTTGCAGTATAGATACATATATAGTTACACAAACATATTGTGTAAAGACATACTGGACTTACTTGGATTTGCATGTACACACCATAATTATAGATTTTATCATATTATATTTACAAATTTATCAACTCATTCATTTTCTTTTATTAAATGTTTATTCCAGATCATTTACAGAAATCATGAAGTTTTTCAAGGTAAACATTCCTAGAGAATATGCAGAGTCAGCTGTTAGTATCATTCTGCGGGTACCAGCACTGTTTATATTGGAAGCCTGGTACAAGTCTGATCCAGATATTGCTTTACAGAATACTGAAGATGTTGTGGCTATTGCTTACTGTGTTTATTACAGTAGTAAGTTTTAACATTTTAATGATTTAATTTGGTAGCTGGCATTAAATACATGAATAGATATATATAAGATAAACTAGATATAAATACGGTATATAAATTGTAAGATAAAGGTTTTGTTCATCTACTCCTACTTTCTGTGCAATGATTTGATAAAACATGTTGTCAAATCACATGCTTAAATTTAATATCCAATAAACTAATTAATAAGTAATCTATTATAAATAACTGAATTTTTAGCTCACCTCACCTAATAGCACAAAGTACTCACACTTAAGTTCAGCTTTTTGATGGAAGTTGTTATTTAGAATTCTTTAAACAATTAATATTTTCTCTTAAACCACTTGATGGATTTTGACTAAATTTCACATGAAAGAACCTTAGGTGATTATAATCATTCCTGTATGATCAAATTTGTGTGATATATAATACACCTCGGGTGTCACTTAATGTTTATAAAAACTTGTGTAAGAAAGTACATTTAAATCTCCAAATGGGGTCACTTAGATAACTTAGATTTTATAGTAAAAATGTCTAAAAGTACAATGCCCAGAGCTTAGATAATTTGCATGAAGCATCACCTTGTTGTCCTCTACTAAAGTTATGTAAGTCATGCCACTGAGGTCTAAAATAGCCTCACCCTGGAGGTCACAGTACTCGCTTAGTTTATATACATTGCAGACTTGCATAGAAAAATGAATTTTTAATGATAGCAAACTTCTACAAATATTTAAAAAAATATGCAGCTTTGGTAAAAAATGACATCTCATCTCTGTCTACATTGTGACTTTTTCTAGCAATATATCTTAGATGAACAATCCATGGCCATCACAATCCTTAGTTTGTTCAGTATAGATGTAAAGTTATATATAATTTTTATGTTATATATTTCAGTTGTGTTGGTAGCTCTGGCTCTAGCTACAATTCCTCTAGAGAAACTTGTCATGACTTACATGTATGCTATCAGTATAGGATTGATCTACGGGGCGTATTATCTGTCCGACATTTATGTGAAGGTGGAGGAGAGTAGTGGCATCGAGGTCAGTAAAGGATTGTTTGCTGCACTGAGAGACTATCATGTAGGGAAGAGGATGTTACTTCATCTATGTGCTCAGTGTGCCATCGCTACAGTAACAGCATATCTTGTTGACATCAAAGATTGGACAAAGTACACACTGCTAGTGTTTACACTGCCCATCATCGCAAGATTATGTGGTCTTCCAGTTAGAGATTTACATGCAGTACACAACTTTAGTGTGATATTTACTGTAATCATGACAGTATTTTATACTTTTAACACTTGTGGGTCAGGATTACGTGTCTTGCGTGACGGTTTTGAACAGGTGCATGAAACTGTGTCTGCATTTGGTTGGATACCTGTGATTATAACATACTGGCATGCAGTGATGCTACCAGTACAGCTACTAATCTTCTGGATGTGTCTATTTTCATGTCAGATTTTCGTATTCTTCAAATCAAAAAATATATCCACTGATGGGCTAATGTTGTTTCTATTGGCAGCCATGGGCGAGTGTTGTGCCACACCTGTTAGCCTGTTTGCATTGTGTATAACTATTTCTTACTTATCATACTATATACTTACACTAACTAAAGTGTTTCTGCTGGGATGGGACGGTCTAGTACAGGACAATGACCTGTTACGTGGCTGGACTGAAGGGTTCACTATGATGCTTATAGCATTGCAGACTGGTTTACTGGACCTTAACCCTCTTGAACGTGCCTTTCTGATGAGCATATTGCTGTTCATTGTTGTGTCATCATTGGTACAATCAATGTATGAAATAACTGATCCAATTTTACTGGTGCTTAGTGCGTCACACAGTCGTAGTATCACGAAACATTTAAGAGTGCTAGCTTTATGTACCGTTCTCTGGGTTTTACCATTGTACATGACTTATGCCATATGTCAGTATTTTAGTCTAGATTTTTGGTTGATGATTATCATATCAAGTTGTATATTAACATCTGTGCAAGTTATCGGGTCATTGTTAATTTATTGGTTGTTCTTGTATGATACATTTAGAACAGAGACATGGGAAAGACTGGATGATGTTGTTTACTATATTAGATCAACTGTGAGAGTCTTAGAATTTGTTGTTGCAGTCTTTGTCGTCTGCTTCGGAATTAAAGAATCATTATATTCTGAATGGAGCTGGATAAATTCTGGTATACTGATAATTCATTGTTATTTTAATGTATGGCAAAGGTTACAAGCAGGGTGGAAGACGTTTCTCCTACGACGTGAAGCTGTTCATAAAATTGAATCACTTCCGGAGGCAACCGAGGAACAGCTTTCTCATCATAATGATGTATGTGCCATATGTTTTCAAGCATTAACCTCCGCACGTGTAACCTCCTGCGGACATTTCTTCCATGGATGCTGTTTAAGAAAATGGCTGTATGTTAAAGACTCTTGTCCACTGTGTCATCAATCTATTAGTGATCCTAATGCTGAGGATAAAAGTAAACGTGTAAATTTAGAAAATATAAATGATTTTGTTGACAATGAACTGACTGACACAGAAACGGAGGAGGAAGATGATGTTGATGATGAGGAGGATGGCTCTAGTACTTGTAATGAGGAAGAGGAAATGGTGATGACTCATCTAAATTAAACAAGTTTAGATATAACATGAAAACCTGTCAGAAACCTAGATAAATCCAGTTGTATGTTAATGTATGATCTGTAATACAGATGTAAAATTTTCTTGGTTTTGGTGATATAATATTGTTTTTAATGAATAAGTTTTTGTTTTTGTGTCATTGACAGAATCTAAAGAGATAATGAGGCATATGTTTTTTTGTTTCATTGAGGTATGTTAATTTATGGAATCTAAAGAAATAATTTTTTTCATTAGTTTTTAGCTCACCTGTCACAAAGTGACAGGGTGAGCTTTTGTGATCGCTTTTCGTCCGGCGTCCGTCCGGCGTCCGTCCGTCCGTAAACTTTTACTTTAAATGACATCTCCTCATAAACCACTAAGCCAATTTCATCCAAACTTCACAGGAATGTTCCTTTGGTGGTCACCTTTAAAAATTGTTCAAAGAATTTAATTCCATGCAAAACTCTGGTTGCCATGGCAACCGAAAGAAAAAACTTTAAATATCTTCTTTTAAAAAACCATAAGAGCTAGAGCTTAGATATTTGGCATGAAACATCTTCTAGTGAGTGTCTACCAAGTTTGTTCAAATAAAAGCCCTGGGGTCAAAATTGGCCCCGCCCCGGGGGGTCATTGATTTTCCCTATACATTGTATGCATATAGTAAAAACTTAAAAAATCTTCTTGTAAAGAACCCAAAGAGCTAGAGCTAAGATATTTAGCATGAAACATGTTCTAATGGGTGTCTACCAAGTTTGTTCAAATAAAAGCCCTGGGGTGAAAATTGGCCCCGCCCCGGGGGTCATTGATTTTCCCTATATGCATATAGTAAAAACTTAAAAAATCTTCTTTTAAAGAACTCAAAGAGCTAGAGCTTAGATATTTGGCATGAAACATCTTCTAGTGAGTGTCTACCAAGTTTGTTCAAATAAAAGCCCTGGGGTCAAAATTGGCCCCGCCCCGGGGGTCATTGATTTTACCTATATGCATATAGTAAAAACTTAAAAAATCTTCTTTTAAAGAACCCAAAGAGCTAGAGCTTAGATATTTAGCATGAAACATGTTCTAATGGGTGTCTACCAAGTTTGTTCAAATAAAAGCCCTGGGGTGAAAATTGGCCCCGCCCCGGGGGTCATTGATTTTCCCTATATGCATATAGTAAAAACTTAAAAAATCTTCTTTTATAGAACTCAAAGAGCTAGAGCTTAGATATTTGGCATGAAACATCTTCTAGTGTGTGTCTACCAAGTTTGTTCAAATAAAGGCCCTGGGGTCAAAATTGGCCCCGCCCCGGGGGTCATTGATTTTCCCTATATGCATATAGTAAAAACTTAAAAAATCTTCTTGTAAAGAACCCAAAGAGCTAGAGCTAAGATATTTAGCATGAAACATGTTCTAATGGGTGTCTACCAAGTTTGTTCAAATAAAAGCCCTGGGGTGAAAATTGGCCCCGCCCCGGGGGGGTCATTGATTTTCCCTATATGCATATAGTAAAAACTTAAAAAATCTTCTTTTAAAGAACTCAAAGAGCTATGGCTAAGATATTGAGCATCAAACATGTTCTAATAGGTGTCTACCAAGTTTGTTCAAATAAAAGCCCTGGGGTCAAAATTGGCCCCGCCCCGGGGGGTCATTGATTTTCCCTATACATTGTATGCATATAGTAAAAACTTAAAAAATCTTCTTGTAAAGAACCCAAAGAGCTAGAGCTAAGATATTTAGCATGAAACATGTTCTAATGGGTGTCTACCAAGTTTGTTCAAATAAAAGCCCTGGGGTGAAAATTGGCCCCGCCCCGGGGGTCATTGATTTTCCCTATATGCATATAGTAAAAACTTAAAAAATCTTCTTTTAAAGAACTCAAAGAGCTAGAGCTTAGATATTTGGCATGAAACATCTTCTAGTGAGTGTCTACCAAGTTTGTTCAAATAAAAGCCCTGGGGTCAAAATTGGCCCCGCCCCGGGGGTCATTGATTTTACCTATATGCATATAGTAAAAACTTAAAAAATCTTCTTTTAAAGAACCCAAAGAGCTAGAGCTTAGATATTTAGCATGAAACATGTTCTAATGGGTGTCTACCAAGTTTGTTCAAATAAAAGCCCTGGGGTGAAAATTTGCCCCGCCCCGGGGGTCATTGATTTTCCCTATATGCATATAGTAAAAACTTAAAAATCTTCTTTTATAGAACTCAAAGAGCTAGAGCTTAAATATTTGGCATGAAACATCTTCTAGTGTGTGTCTACCAAGTTTGTTCAAATAAAGGCCCTGGGGTCAAAATTGGCCCCGCCCCGGGGGGTCATTGATTTTCCCTATATGCATATAGTAAAAACTTAAAAATCTTCTTGTAAAGAACCCAAAGAGCTAGAGCTAAGATATTTAGCATGAAACATGTTCTAATGGGTGTCTACCAAGTTTGTTCAAATAAAAGCCCTGGGGTGAAAATTGCCCCCCCCCCCCTGGGGGTCATTGATTTTCCCTATATGCATATAGTAAAAACTTAAAAAATCTTCTTTTAAAGAACTCAAAGAGCTATGGCTAAGATATTGAGCATCAAACATGTTCTAATAGGTGTCTACCAAGTTTGTTCAAATACAAGCCCAGGGGTCAAAATTTGCCCCGCCCCGGGGGTCATTGATTTTCTTTATATGTGTTTAGCAAAAACTTTAAATCTTCTTTGAAAAAACCCAAATAGCTAGAGTTTAGATATTAAGCATGAAACATCTTCTAGTAAGTGTCTACAAAGATTGTTCAAATAAAAGCCCTGGGGTCAAAACTGGCCTGGCCCCAGGGGTGTCATTGTTTTTAACTATATGTGTATAGTAAAAACTTAAAAAAAACTTCTTTTAAAAAGCCCAATGAGCTAGAGCTTAAATGTTTAGCATGAAACATCTTCTTATGGGTGTCTACCAAGTTTGTGCAAATAAAAGCCCTTGGGTTAAATTGGCTCTGCAACGTTGGGGGGGGGGGGGTTGGGGGGCCTATATACAGGTGAGCGACCTCAGGGCCATCATGGCCCTCTTGTTGATTGTATTTATAGAAATTTCACTTGGTTTAGGTACATGTAAGAATATTGGACTTATCATAATCTTTTAGAAACTTCATATATATTTTTGGAAATTAAGATTTTTCTCTTCTGTTATTAATGGTGTTGGAAGTTTCACATTTTTTGATAAGTTGATAGATTGAAAGATGTAAATTTATATTCTTATAGATATATTTGTAAACTAACATAATTATAAATATTTAGGCTTTAGCATACACATTGTTTGTAACCATGAATATTTATTGTTAAAAACTTTAAAATATTCATGCACACATGTTAAATATTCTGAAGTTTTTTAGTTAATTTAATTCAGTGGAAAGATACAATTTAGTTTAACCTTTACCCTTCTGTAGTTTGTATTATGAACTTTTCCTCTTGTTATATTTATAATTTAGAGATTTCAGCATCAAAACATTATCTTAGGAAGCAAATCATTAAATCTCGCATTGAATCTGAATTTAAAGCAGCATGCCTCCAAATTCATACTAATTTTTATGAAAATTTTGAAAATGTATTTAAAAGAAAATTTTGTGAAGTGATCATAGAAAGTAATTTGCAAATTGCAAACAGCACTAACAACCCATGTAAATGAACAAAAATTGGTCAAAATATGCTAAACAGCCGATATTGCATTTGTCATGCAGTAGAAATTTCATGATAAATGCTGCAAAATAAGTCATTAATCAAACATAAAATGTAAATTATAACTTGGATCTTGAATATTTTTACTTTTCTTAAAATTGGATGAAAAGGAAGAATTGTAACAGTAACAAAGAAACCATATGTCACATGTTTTAATAAAATTACCAAAAAGAAGTAAAAATAGCCCTTAGGGCATCAGTCACCCAGTAGAAATTTGGTGATAAATGCTGCAATATCAGTCATTAATCAAACATAAAATGTAAAATATTTCTTCAATATTACTTTTCGTAAAATTTTGGTACATTTTTCTCAAGTTCAATTTTCATGAGATATTTTACTCATCTGGAGGCATGCAGCTTTAAAATTGACTTGTGTGTATTTAACAGAAATGCTTTGTATTTAATTGCTTTCTGTTCAATGAAGATGTTTTACAAAATGCACCGTATTTGATTTTTTTTTCATATTAATTTATTCTCAAAATGTCAGGTCATATTGTTTAATTTGATGGCAATAATTTTCTGATTAAATCAGAATTTATTAATGTATCATAAAAGTCATGTTTGATAAAAAAAGGAATGATACAGTACTACAATTATTCATTAAAATGTTTTAAAGCAGCATATGTCTCCATTTAGCAAAATATTTCTAGTAAGTCAAACTTGAGAAAAATGAACACTTTTTAGTAAAGCTATATGCACTTAAGCTTCAAGTAATAAAAACTTGAGAAAAATGAGTAATTGTTTTAATAAAAGTAAAACTACTTAACTTAAGCAATAATTTATATTTTATGTATGATTAATGACTGATTTTGCAGTATTTATTACCATATTTCTACTGTGTGACTAACACAGTAAGGGCTATTTTTGCATATTCTGACCTCTTTCTTGTAAATTGCATGGATTAAAAGTGCCATTTGCAATGTGTAAATTACTTCTTTTGTTCAGTTCACAATATTTAACTTTTAAATACATTTTCAAAATTTTTATTGAAATTAGCATGAATCTGGAGGCATACAGCTTCACGTTGTTAAGTTGAAGGTTTACAAGTAGCAGGATTTTTGAAAATACTCTGTGCTTGACTGATTGGAAAGCAAAGAAAAAATACATTTAAGTTAAATTGTTTCTAGTGTTGAAACAAAACAATACTGTAGATCTATTTTTTTTTACTTTAGTATCTCATTTTTTGCTGTTTTCATGCACACTAAATGTCACAAAAATATGATTTAAGTGCATGCTATTATAAAGTAATCTATGAGAGAAAGTGCAGTGTTAAGTAACCATCACTCTATGTTTCTCAGTTTTTAGCTCACCTGTGGAATAGTGACATTAATATTGTGAGGTTTTGTGATCATTTTTCATCTGGGGTCTATCCGTCCGGCGTCCGTTAACTCTAAACAACATATTATAAACCACTAAGGCAATTTCATCCAAACTTTACAGGAAGGTAACATTTGAAAATTTTTCAAAGAATTGAATTCCATGCAGAACGCTGGTTGCCATGGCAATGGAAAGAAAGAACGTTAAAAATCTTCTTTTAAAAAAACCCAAAGAGCTAGAGCTTAGATATTTAGAATTTTCTAGTGGGTCTCTACCAAGTTTGTTCAAATAAGAGCCCTGGTGTGAAAATTGAAGATCATTGATTTTCCTATTAGTTATATAGGAAAAACAAAAAAATCTTCTAAGAAAGCCAAATAGCTAGAGCATGAAGCATCTTCTATTGGGTGTCTACCAAGTTTGTTCAAATAAAACCCTTGGGGTCAAAATTGGCCCAACCCCAGGGGTAATTGATTTTCCTTATATGTATTTAGTAAAAACAAAATAAAATCTTCTTCTAAAAAGCCAAAGAGCAACAGCTTAGATATTTAGCATGAAACATTTTCTATGGTCATCCACTAGTTTGTTCAAATAAAAGCCCATGGGTCAAAATTTGTCTGGCCCAGGGGGTCATTGATTTCCTTATATCAAGCCAAAGAGCTAGAGCTTTGATATTTAATAGGAAACATCTTCGAGTGGTTGTCTACTAAGTTTGTTCAGTTAAAAGACCTGGAGTCAAAATTGGCACCATTCCATGGGTCATTGATTTTCCTTTATAACTATATTGGAAAAACAAATATAAAAAAAAGAATTTTCTATTATATTAATAAGGCTTTAGCTTAGATATTAAATATGAAACATTATTTCATGGACCTGTACAAATATTTTTTAAATTATAGCCCTCCAGTCAAAATTGCCCTACCCCAGGGAACAAAGGTTTACCTTAAATGTATAAACATGTATTGTAAAAAAATGCTCAAAATCTAAAAGCTTAGTTTCCATAGCAACCAGTGACTTAATATCAAACCTGAAATTTTCATAGAAACCAGCAAACAATAACTTTCAATAGCAACAAGTCAATCTACCATTGAATTTCATAGCAGGCACTGACTTTCAAGTAAACCATTTATTTTGTATAGCATAGTGACATCTTATGGAACTGTTGTTTTCAACCAGTAAAATTTTTACAAAGTCATGCACTTTTTCAGATTCAAATTTGAGCTTTGTTATATCAGTTTAAGAATGCTTTCATTTGTAGTATACATATTACTTGTTCCTTGTCATATTCAGGTGACTTATATTACGGCCATCATGGCCCTCTTTTTTAATTGGTACCTTTTATAAAAACTAAAATATGCTTGTCCAGAGAATAAATTGAAAAGTATTTAAGGAGTTTGTTAAAACTTAAGTGCAGAGCCTAGTACCCATAATTCTATTTTGCTTTTAAGGTCTTCTTATTTTGGGTGGAATAAGTGATGATTTGGATAATTATCACCAGTGCTAATAATACAGTTGTACTCTTGCTTATACAGCTTTTATTTTACATTTGAAAATATGCAGGTTTGGGGAAAAAAATAAAATATTTTGCCTGTTCTATATTCTTGTTGGTATGTTACTGTTTAAGTGTATTCAGGATGCCAAATTGTCTGTTGTATTATCTTAGAGGACCCATCACAATTTGGTCTATATTTTTTACGCAGTATTTAGTAGTTGTTGTTTGCTTATTATTGGTGAAATAGTTATTTTCATTATATTAATTCTTATTATTATAATTTTGTATATGATGATTTTAGAAATCATTTAAGTAATAAAAGTTTAATTTTAATTATAAAACATTTGCTGATTCAGGGCACCATATCATACATGTGTTTACATGCCATTCTTTCATACACAATATATTATTCTATATGAATTATTTTCATCCAATAGCTGCTTTTTGATTGTACCAGGTGACCATCCAATATATTATTTTTTATTAGATGATGTAGCATTATAGTTATCCTGTATCGGATAATTGAGTGTGTTTGGCCTCTTCGATTGAAGTCAGTGATAGAAAGCTGACAGGTTATCCAAATTATTTTACTAAAAGCTTTGCAAGCGATTTGTAAAAAGTAATGAATCCTACTCATGAAATAATATTAAGTTACAGTTTGCATTTCACCAATGTAATCTAAATATAGAATAAGCAGGCCATTAAACATTGAACAGGTTCAATACAGGAATATATTTGTTGATCTCGCACACACTTTGAGATTGTCTGGCGGCTCATCCAGTATAGTTTCACCAGCTGTGTATTTGTGCAAATGTATTCCTGCATTGTATAGTTAAATGTTGAATAAATTATACATATTAGATGGAGCAAGTCATCAGCATAGTTACATGTACATATATCTGTAAGGAAGATTTCTCGGTGACTTACAGAAGAAAGATGTTACCTTCATGATGACACAGTTCACCGGCAGGTCTCTTGTTCATCCTACAGTAGTAAAGCTGGTTGATATATGGCTTGAACTGTGTCAGTGTTGCTATTAACCAAACCAAGGATAGCTATAAGTTTGAAAATTGAGTATGTTAGGTTTCCAACGGAACTAGCAGAAAGCATTTTTGTCCTCTATTTTGCAAGTTGATAGGGAGAAAAGTAACTATGCAAATATATTGTATCAGTTTAGTGATACGTTCCTGAATTATTCTTGTTTTATTTTTTGTTTTGTTTTTCACTCATAAGATTTAAATGCTATTTTGTCAACCTTAATAAAGAAATGTATTGCCACAACTTGCGTTTCTTGTTGTTGTTTGTATGTGATCTATTGAATACATTAGTTACAGTAAATTTTGAGAACTAAAGATAAGTTACTGTATAGTTGATAAATATTCGTCCTGAGAACCAGTAGGGCCACAATTCTTAATAATTTTTAGATGTTTCAAATTGCTGTTTTAATAGTCATCTACTGGTATTTATCTCTGAGGGAGTCCAGATTTGCCCATT